TCCCTGGTTTGGAGGGGCCTAGGTAAGACCTCAGCCTGTAGTTAGGTCTATAGTTTATCCTCTTTCTCTCTAGCCTTTGGTATAACTGTACCTATCTACACTTTATAACAGGAGGTACTAGCTGTTGTTGTTGTAGATAATATACTAACATTTAATAACATCCAAGAAGCTGGTCACAGTTAGTTACACAGTGACGTACATCACATAAGTCAGTGAAATTTCATAGGCCTACCGTAGGTAAACATAGAAAGAGCAATAATTGTAAAACTCGAGCGTCACGACATTGCGAAGTGTCTGCTCTTGCTCCTCGTATCGTACTCACTCGAGTCAACCCGAAATGGCCCGAGTGAAGTTTCATGCAAATGTTTCGTACGGAAAAAAAAATCGCTGTTGAGAATTGATAATAAAATACGCGACGACTTGGTAACGAAAGTTTGCCACAAGTTTTTTTAGATCCAACTGTAGGGGGCGTCCCATTTTTCGTATTCCCACCATGCATTTCGGTGGAACACAGTGGAACACTTTTTTTGTGTGGAGAACTCTATCTTGTATTTCTAGTATCTTTGACTTCAGCCACAATCACAACAAAATCTACTGGGGTAGCAGGATGACAGAGGGTATGTTTTTAAATTTATTCTATAGTCTGTAAATTAAATTTGAGTAATTTCTTTACAGCATACCATTCAGATTAATCTTTCTGTAAGGGCTCTCATACTCAGACAGTGACGGACCTGATTGCAGCATTAGGCCCCTAGTCAAGGACCATATTTAAGTCCTTGATTGCTTGCAACGTAACACCATCACGCTCAGATGGTGTGTTTGTCATCAGACATGCATGATGACATGTTGTACCACCATTTAACTCACTATTATTACTGGTATTGTCACCTTCCTTTATTTCACGAGCTTCATCTTCCTGTTTATGCTGAATAGCGGAAGTAACTATGACAATGCATTTATCCAGTCAGGCTATAGCTTTAATCCTTGTGTATGCACATGATCCCACATGTGCAATTCTTCTAATCTATTTTAGTATTTACCTCAGCTCAAGCACGCTTTCAGAAACCAGGGAGTTGTTATAGCATAGAGGAAATAGACAAATGACAAATGTGGCAGCATCAGACAGAGGGAGTGCTTCAGATCCCCAAAACCAGGGTGGCCATAAAATGACTGAGGGTCACTTACATACATACCGAGCTTGGAAGGGACTCCAATAGGCTTGGGTCCAGGTGGGCCAGACATTTTTTAACCTTGTCTCTGGTGCACTCTATGGGCTACCCAAATAGCTAAAATTTAAACATCGCTACGATTTCTTCTGATGTTTTGAGTCAAAATAAGAATAAAAATGAAAATAGTACAGACATGTTGGCCTTGCCAAAATGCAATGATAAGCGTGAACATCAGGAGAATGTATGTGGCTGACGGAAGGGCTTGAGATGGAGTCAAAAAGCTGGAGTCTCCCACCAGATGCGGGAGACATGGTAGGTATTCATTTAGGGTTTATAATTTATTTTCACACACTGCAAGGAAAATTGCTAACCCCACTTATCTATCCTCCAAGGTAAATAGTGTGTTGAATGCTGTATGTTCTTATTCCTAGTGTTTGAATTGAAGTGTGCTATGCAAGAATACCCTTGGGGTCGCTTGGGGTCAGATAGTGAAGTTGCTCAGCTTAATCAAAATAACGATCCCTCTTTTCAACTGCAGCCAAATCAACCATATGCAGAGGTAAGACCTCATTAAATCTCCTACTCACCAAGTCACAGAGGTTATGCTTACAGCTGACCTGCACTATTTAAATGATCATCTTGCACACCTGACCTTGAACTTTTATTTTGTGAATACTTTCCTGGATGAACCAACATATGTGCCAGTTTCCTTTTGGGAATTTTGAAAATCATCTATGCATATAATTATCATTTCATCCAGGTAAGTATCCCACTCACCTCTGCTTTTGCGATTTACTGGAATTCTATAGATTTTTGGCATGTGTTGTGCAAGTCTATCATCAGTTACCTCCATGACTATATCTCTTTTGCCCAAAAGCATTATTGCTCTTGAGAATAGTTTAGCTTCTTGGAATTACTAATACTACTATGGAATGAATCTTGAATGGATGAAAGAATTCCTTTTAAAATCCTACAACAAATGATGGCACATTTACTTATTGCTTTTCCACAGCTTTGGATGGGAACGCATCCCAAAGGACCATCGATAATCAAGAATGGCACTCTGACAGGTCAACCTCTGGTGAACTGGATCAAGGAGAACCCACAAAGTCTTGGAGCAAAAGTCCAAGAGAAGTTCAACAATAAACTGCCATTCCTATTTAAAGTGCTGTCCGTCAATAAATCACTCTCAATTCAAGCGCATCCCACCAAGGTATTTAAAAACTCTGCTGAAAACACTATATGGAAAGAGATGCAGGCATGCATGCACGATGGCAGTGTCTGCCAGTGATTCTCTGGCGAGGGTCTAACATGCCTTGGTATTTTCAGACTGTAAAATGCTTTTTCAGAGCACTATGTTTACTGATAAAATGATTGGCTTGGGAGACAGGGGTCCTGTGGGTTCCCTGGCACCCATACTGGTGCCACCAATGAATATGCAACCAGCTCTAATACCTTGAGAGTATTCCAGTTGCATTGCATTTATCTGCACACTACTTCACTATCCTACCAGGTGCCCATTTGCCCATTTAACAGATGTAATAAAATTCCTCTTCAAAAGATGCAAAGTGGCCAGTCGTCAGTGACAACTATTGATACAGTTGTGCCATTTTGTGCCTTTATTAAAATCTCATTGGCATTTATCATATATTATTTTATCTATATTTTCTCCTCTTCAGGAACATGCAGAAAAATTGTACAAAGAACGTCCTGACAAGTATCCAGATGATAACCACAAACCAGAGATGGCACTTGCTCTGACACCCTTTGAAGGATTCTGTGGGTTCCGTCCTGTTGATGAAATTGTTAAATTTCTTCAAGGTATTAATTATACATATCAGGTTTTTAACTTGTAAATCATCACCATCTTCACCATCTTCATACAATTTAGGAACATATTTTACATTCTAACATAGGTTAGACGGGGTTTAATTTATTTATTGGCACACTTCCTGTGAAGAAGGAGAGTGTAAATATTTAGCAGAATAAAAATACAATTTCTCAGCCAATTTCAGGACTTTAGGAACTATTTCTTTGAGTATGAGATCAGGTTAATAATTTACAGTATTTTTTATGACATATATTATTAATGTCATTGTTATAATTTATTTTATTATTTTTGTCAATGGTATTATTATTACTGCAATTGATTAATTACAATAATACTAAACATGATAATTAAATACACGTGAATTAGTTTTTATGATGTTACTGTCTGTAGTAAGTTTATAATTAAAATAAAGTAAATAAACTTTTTAAAATTTACTTGCAACAGACATTCCCGAATTCACTACTGTTGTAGGGGAGGATAATGCATCACAGCTTATCGAGGCTTTCAACAAAGGAGGTGACCTTGCCACAACATGCAGGGACGCCCTCAAGAGGTGCTTTACCGGGTTGATGACGCGAGATGCGGAGACAATTACAAAACAACTTAACACATTGGTGCAGCGAATCAACAATGACGGTGACTATTTTATTAATATTACTTTATCACTTGAACACTATAAAATTTGTACTATAGTATAAGCCTATACTCGAGTATAAACAGGTTACCCTGATGTTGTGGTTCATTTTAGCCCCTGTCATTGTGGAATAGTGTGAAAATGTAGCTACTATTAGCACTTCTTTACAGTGGCTAGGTAGTTACGGACCACACCCATATAAAATGCAGCACAATTATGCTGCAAGTTATGGGTTATTCTCCTACCTTTATCTCCCTACATAATATCCAGTGTCACGTACAAGCCAAGGTAGAAATGGAGACAGCAGAACATGTGTAATCAAGTTTATTTCATAATGGTAATCATGCCTGTTTAACCTGTTCTGCCAATGGTCTTGAACAACATACTTTACATTATTTTCAGTTATATCATTAATAGACCTTTCCGGAGTGTCAATCAAACTCCACAACTGACTAATCAGAACAACGCTAGGAATGCGCGCGCATCTTACAAACACACGTGTTGTCCCACAAACGCACGTGTTCGCATATGTTTTAACACTGCCGTCTTGTGGGGCCTTAGCAACAAAATCTTGGCGGAAAGGTCCATTGTACTACTGTATATATAAACTGAGTTTATGTATTTAAAGATTTATATGCAAAAATACATTTTTGTTCTAAGGAAGAGGAGATTATATTTTGGATAAAAATGTCAAATATCAAAGTAAAGATCACATATAGTCACCAAATTTTATTATCAATGGACTTGAAGGATATATATACTCCATTGGGCACCTTCCCTAGTTTTGTTACTGTATTTTCATTTACTGTATGATGAGATTTATTAGACCAAAAAAAAAAAATTGTTTGTTTGCCCTCCTCCACCCGATCCTAACTTACTGAAAAAAATAGGGGCGGAAAAACAAAAAAGACTTACTTAGCTTTTTTCTTCACAAATAAAAAAAATGTGAGTGAATTTATCTTTATTTTTTTGCCGAATGCCCTACAAATTAGTCTTAAGTTTTTGTCTGATGTAAGATATTGCCATTCTAGGCCTCTGGGTTATTTTTATTCCATCTGATGAGTATCTTCAGAAAAAAAAAAGGGGGAAAAAAAACTTTTTCCACCCGCCCCTTTTTATCATTTTTTAAAAAAGAAAGGCAAACAAACAATTTATTTTTTTAGGCCTTATGTCAGTAAATTTTAGTTTCTATTTTAAGCATTATAAATTAATGTTTAAATATTTATATAAATATTATTTATATTTTTTATTTAACTGAAGTTATTATTATTAGAATGTTTTACTAAATTAATTGATAATGAACAACCGTATTAACATACAGTTATCTTGTACTGTCTTCCAATGTAGATGTTTCACCCCAAGAAGGCAGCATTCTACAACGTCTGTACAGACAGTTTCCAGATGATGTAGGCTGTTTTGGTGTATACTTCTTCAATAGAGTGTTACTTGAGCCTGGCCAAGCTATGTTCTTAGGTCCAAATGAGCCACACGCTTACCTATCAGGCAGTAAGTTTCTTAGCCTAATTTTCCCAGGGGTCACAAGTCTCCTGCAAGTTGCAGGTTTTCCTAGAAAATGGGATGGCTTCCCAAACGACCCCCAAGCAAGCAAGCTTCCACAGATTCAGGTTATTTCCATGTGTAGAAGCGGTTTGGCGCAGCAGGAACAGTTTGGTTTCCCAACGTCAAGGTTGGGGTTCAATCCCTTGCTGTGAATTTTGCTTGTGACCTTCAGTTAGGCACTTTATCTGCATTGCTTCTCTCCACCCAGGAGTATAAGTGGTCCTGGGTATAAGTGAGTACCTGGTAGGGTTAAAATGCCAAATGTGCTGATTAGCTGCTGCAACGTTATGGAATACTCCCCCGAGGAGCTGAGTTTCATCCAGTGACCAGTGACCGGGGTAATGATATGAGGCATGTTGTGGCAAAATGGCTAAGTTGTAGCAAAAATTGAAATTCAAGTTATAGGTATTTTGAGATACCTGAGTATGTGATCTTTAAAATGAGGGGGTCATTCATTGAAATTGGACATTTCAAGCCTAAGTTACTGGAAAGTGAAAGTACAGCACTCTTAGAGTCAAGATAAACATGATTTTGAGTAATTGCCTTCCAAAGTTATTTGTGCATACATTGTTTAATAGAATTAACTATCTAAATAACATTAAATAAACAATTTTTTGACCACTTCCAGAACTAATACTTTGGGACATGATTAATAAGACATTGTTGATCTATAGTGAAACTGTTGATCTATAGTGAAAAAAAAATTTGGAGTTTTAGGCAATTTTTTGAGCTCCCATATTTTATAGCTCATTTACTCAATACTGGCCTGTGCGACAACTTAACCATTTCGCCACGACATGCCTCAAATGTGGAGCGCATAGAGGTCTTTTCATAATGCGCTATATAAGTCTACCATTACAGTATTTGTAGTATGTGTTCACTACTGTATTATAATTGTCTCCATCAATTCAGCAGGTGATGGGCATTACTTTATGCAGAAAGTAAATTTAGATGTGTTAAGAAAGCTCATTTGAACCAGGTCTCCTGGAAGTGGCTTCTTCCAGCTTAGGACCACTGTTTTCCTCTTATTCCTCAAGAACTAAACATAGGCCAAAAAAACTTACACCAATGAATTTTACCTGTCTTACCTTTTTTCTTTAGCTTTGTTCCTGATTGGCTTGCCTTCGTCTACCTTGTTATTCAGCTTTATTATCTCATCTTTGCTTTTTGATTTTTATATTCATTTTCTGCTTCTTTTTTTTTGGTTATGTAAATGAAATAAATATTATATTATTAAAAGATTAAAATATACAATGTAAGCTGTTGGTTTTTTGTGTTCAAGGAAAAGTTATAATGTTAATATGAAATACAGACATATGCATTATTTTGGTATAATTTTTGCATCATTCACTTATGTTATACAATTCCCTGTTTTTTAGATTGCATTGAATGCATGGCATGCTCCGATAATGTTGTTCGTGCCGGGCTTACCCCGAAATACAAAGACATTCCAACGCTCTGCGACATGCTCAACTATAACCCATCCACTCCCAACTCCAAGATTTTTCCATGTAGGAAAGACGCTAAAGATGACCATGTGACAATATATTCGCCCCCAGTGCCAGATTTTGCTGTTGATAAAATCGAGGTAAATTGTATAACATTGAGGTATATTGTAGAATAGTTCTTTAATTGCAAATTTTTAGACAAAAATACATCTGCTGACAATAATATTTTTAGATTCTTCATGAATTCTTCTTTAAAACAGTGTTATGAATATTTAATTCATTTAATATCAGCCATGTATGTAGGTTTTGGGATATCAGATTCCAAAAATCGGTAGTAGTGACAAATGTAGGGTTTTTCCAGAGCCGGTCACACATGAATTCAGTTCATAAAAGTCATGAAAATATTCAGAATCATAATACGGAAGATCAGGTGTAAAAGCGCACTTTATGTTTACATATTCAAAGTAATTTATTTCAAACAAATACAACTTAAAAGTCAAATTATTATTCATCACATTTTTCCTTATTACTTTCCCGTTTCTCCTTTGAATTCCCAGGTTGACGGCAAAGTTGACTACACTATTTCTGCATACAACAGTGCCAGTATAATACTTGTCATCAAGGGCCAAGCAGAAGCTAACACTGAACAAGCCCTCAAAATACATCGTGGTTCAGTGATTTTTGTATCAGCCAATCAAAATCTTCCTCTCAAATGTCAATCAGAGAAACTCCTCCTATTTAGAGCATATTGTCCACTACTTTAATTAAGTTTCTTTGATTAATAAAATGGCTGAATAATTATTCAGGTAATTAGCTTCTTTAATTAATCATAATTTTCAAATTATATTATAAACATTAATATATAATATATTCTATTATTTTCAATGAATTTGAAATTTTTCATTTGTGTACTAATTTTGTTGCTGAATTATGCAATAAGAATGTAATTTGCCAGACATTCTGTTTTGTTTATTTTCAATCTGTTATATTTTTTAATTCTTGAAAAACTACAAAATCAGTGTGGACAGAAAATCCTTTTATTTACCAATATTGTGTTTAATAATAAAAAAAAAACAGTAACAATTTTTAAAATGTGTATTATTTTAAAGTACAGTAAGCCATCTTCAAATTTTCCTCCAATTATTATGTGCTAAACATTTATGGATATATATTGTAATTGAATGCCTTTGCTGTTAGTAAAAACTACTGAAACCCTGATGTAGGGGTCAAATTAGTAGGTTGTGCAGTGGATGGTTCAGTCTATTTTTTTATTTGTGTTAACTTCATCTTGGTGTGCTAGAAGCCCAATGTATTCATCAACAGTGGTGTATAAGAGTATTGCTATGAGGAAAATATTAAATGCAGTGGTTTCTTGTTTTTTTTTTTATCAGTAAATTTTCAGTGAATCTGAGATGGGGGTGGGAAGCATAGATATGCCACTGAGTTTCAAACAATTACCTAATCGTAGCAATGAATTTACTGATGCATTTGTAATATTATAATACCTCTTTGATTTGCGCTCTCTCTACATTCTATCTTGATTAGTAATAACTTTTTAAGGAAATTCTTTGCCCATATTCTTTCTAATTGCTGACAAAATGTCACCAAAATATTCAACACCATTGGTATATCGCTTTACTTGCTTGGTCACTACCGTATTCATTTCTTATTTACCGTATAATTAAAATATTATTGTTTGTTAATTTTATATAATACTATAAACCAAATTACTGTAAGTTAAATAGTACAGTATAAAATTAGTATACAGTATCCTAACAGTATACAATAGTAATAACATTTTCAAATGTCAAATATATTGTTTTCATATTAGTTTGTTGTCAAAGTCTTATGTTGTTTGTGATCCATATGTTTATAGACCTTATCACAAATCAAAGCCGTAATGCATATAGGGATTAAAAAGGGGCAATAGCGCTGTTTGATCTCTTGCGCAACCACCGTGGTGGTGCGGTATTGTCTGAATGATCACAATTTTTTTTTTTATGATGAATTTCATTAACATTTAGACATACAAGCAAATATTGTGTGTTTTGTTGTTTTTTGCCCCTTATTCAATCCCATCATGCTTTGTTGTTGTGCGTCATCCATTGATATTTTTTGATTTGCAATAAACCTTATTATTTCCCAAATACATACATGCATATGCATGCCCATATATAGTCATTATGTGCCTATATATGGTCATGATGTGATGTCATCATGACCAAATTTAGGCATGTCATGTGTTTTTTTTTTGTCCAATAAAATTTGATAGTCTGGCTTTAAATTTATTTCTAGCCAATTTAAGAGACTGAAGAGGAGAAAATTGTTTTCTGTTTCAATTAGTGTGGTACATAATAGCACGAGTTGACACAAAAAATATTAATTAGGTAATAAGAACATTTCATTGGCCAATTTCACTCGGTACATGGTGCGGTAGTTTGACTACTTTCCTGTGCGTGCCAATTTACATGGATGCGCAGAAAGAAATACTATCAAACTGTGTGATTTTTAACCTCGCATATCGAAATTGGTAATGTAGATTAATTGTTTGCTGCTTAATATATATTAGGTATACTGTAGTAAAACAAATACAAATATAACAAATGTCTTCAGCGCCCTGTTTGAATAAGTGCCCCTCAATTCCTAAAATCATTCAATCGTACAGTACAGTACATCACGAACATAACTTTCTGCATCAGCTATTCGCATCTATCTTAGCATTGTCAGTCTATCTGGTTTTCTGTATTGATGCATCTTTAGAATGCCGTTCTTGTTTTATTGATACCCTTTTTGAATTTAGAACCACAGTATTCAATATATAAAAATTAAAAATATTGTATGGCCATTTTCAGTCAACAAAAACTGACCTCATCACTTTCGTATTTGTTTTATTGATACCCTTTTTGAATTTAGAACTACAGTATTTAATATCTAAAAATTAAAATATTGTATGGCCATTTTCAGTCAACAAAATAAACTGACCTCTTCACTTTCGTATTTAAGCAAGAAACCCTGCAATGATCCTGTTAATCTGAATTGGCAGATGGCCAACACACTTACCACCAATACCACCACCACTAATTTCATCTGCTGTTATGTAAATACCCCCAACATTAATGAGACATGCTCTCTCTGCGATTACATTTTCTTCACCAAAACCATTCGTTTATCTTCAATTAAAAAAAAAAGTGCCCTCACAAATAGCCAAAAATATTTTAAGCGGACGGGCGTTTATTCGTGCAAGTATGGTACAACATGGTTTTACTTCAGTAAAGCAGTGAATTCTACTTCCCTCATCATTGGATGATTGAGACTATCTCCCTCTGCTTCGGAGGTAGTCTCCCAATTATCCAACACCTCGGAAAACAGAATTCAATACTTCACCTCAAAACATTTTGTATTTCAGGGGCAGATTTAGAGTGGTGCCGGGAGGGCCACGGCTCCCCCTTTTTGAAAAAAAAAAGAAGAAATAAAAAGAAAAAATTGATCGCCCAAAATGTCTCAGAAGTTATTTACGGGCGTCTAGAAGACAACAATTTCGTGGGGACATGCCCCCGGACCCCCTAAGGTAGTCTTGCCTCAATCGGCCCACTTTTGGGGGGACCCCCTTCGGAGAACTTTGGATCTGGATGCATCTTCTTGTATTGAAAGTCAATAATTTTATTACACATACAAAGTAAGTAAATATTGAATTGTTTACAGGCTTATTAGCTCAGTGCAGTATGTAGGTCTGTCCATGGACCTATTAAATTAATAGGTCCATGGTCTGTCAGTGGAGATGGTCTTCATAATATCTGATAGCTGGATAGCATAGAACTCTACATAGAATGTACATATGCTGCCCTCTATATTTGAGTAAACAAAATAAGTGCTGTGCTAATGTTCTGCATAATAATTATATAACAATAACAATAATAACCAAATATAGGCCTGATAAATATGTAATTTAAACATTTATAATAGAGTATATATAATTAAAATATAATAAATGATCAGTTACATGAAGCTATTATATAAAATATAATTTAAAAAAAAAATTAATAGGCCTCTAATCAAATATAGGCCTAATCATGTAATATTAAAATAAATTTAAATTTATTGTTAATAAATAACATGACATGGAAACATTAAAGCGCACCTGATCAACCTCCTCGGTCCCACCATGACTTGGGCTGAGGTGAGAAAATCTTAGCTTTTCTATATGATTTTTTTTCAAAAACCATAATTATAGAGGATGACCTTTCCAACGTATCCTATCCTAGAAGTTTGGCTGATATTTAGATTTAGGGGCCCTCCTGAATATTAAAATGAAATAGTGTGATGCTATGTCAGGGAAAGGCACATTTCGAGTGGAGATGATTTTCATTGTGAGAAAAAATTCTGCGCTGTCACAGGAAAGGGTCACAGGAGTTGAACCCAGGACCCTTGGATTGAAAGGCAAACATGTTAACCACCAAGCTACAACCTTATACTTTTTTATTTAAATGCTTTCATTTGTGTCTGAAATTTAACTCCTAAATGTCAAATTTAGTTATAAAAATGCAATACCCCACCCTAGAAAACAGAAGTAAACATTGACTATTCTTTTTATTGTCATTTGTAAACAGAATATTTACACAGAAATATTGTGAGTTAGCAAGAGTTAACCTATTATATTTATTACTATAAATTGTAAGGAAATATATAATATATTATCAATTATACCATTTAGATGTTGGTAGTTATCTTTATCAAAGGCAGTCTCAAAAGCACTTCTCAGCTTACAAAAATTGCTAATGCTCTTAAATACAGCTTTTAAATCTTTTCATTGAGTCAACTATAATGTACTAATTCTCAGAAAAGAGCAACCCCTGTAACCTTTGGAAGCATGGTTGCAGAGGAGAGCCGCTTGGCGTATCTAGGAGTATTGTCATGAGTGAAGGTTGGGGGGGTTGATGCAAGGTGTGAGCGTGGCTTGATAAATGTGACTGGCTCTGGCAAAACCCTCAGTTTGTCGCAAATTTCTAATTTCCCACAAGCACCCATAACGTTCGAGAATCAGAATTTTGAAAATTTTGTTTTTGCATTTCGATATATTAAAGAACATTTCTATAAAATATCAATCACCAAATCTGACTGAAAAGTATATTAAAATAAATTTTAAATTAAAAAAAATCTTAATAATAAACTATTGACTTTGGAATCCTTGGAAGCTGCTCAAAACCTACATGACTGATATCAAATGAAATAAATATTCATAACTTCGGTAATACTCAACCAATTTCCATCAAATAAACACTGCTTTAAAGAAGACTTCATGCAAAATTTCAAAACACCAAAAGCTCAATTTTTGAATTTTTCCTACAAGCAGAGGTTTTGCTAGTACTGGTCACAAATAAGTGAGGGGGTGTTATGCAATAATTTGTAACTATATGAGCATCATTTGTTTTTCACAGTATATTTTCAAAGCTATCAGAAGGGGCACAATTTTTTTTTTTTTTTTTTTTTTTGGAGGTGGGCCCATGCTTGTTTAAGTCCTCCATACATATACCGCTGCTTGTTCTTGGGCAATGCACTATTTCTGCATGCTCTTCTCTCTACCCAGGAGTTGAATTAGCATTTGACAGCCATGGATAATGAGTTTATGCACAGATTTAAACAGCATGACTGGAATACCTCTCCAGGGAGGAAATACAGAATGTTGTTATTAATTCCTATTATGTTATATTCATCTTCATCAGCAGTGGACACTGTTGTTATAAATACACAGCCCTAGTAATAATAATAAAGAAATGATAAAACTCATTAGTAGTTTTACCTTTGTCCTTGTTATTTTATTTGTTATATTTATTTTGTTATTCAACAAATGTTTTTGTATTATTTTGATAGATTTGAATAGGCTACAACTTTAAACTGTTTTTGTTATAATTTGTAATAATGTATGTGATCATGTTTTTGACATCCTGCATTGGTCTGTATTTGCCAAGACCTGGATTTAATGTACTTCCTTTTATTTGAGATATGGAATAATAATTTTTTTTTTATAATTTATTTGATGCGTCATAGACATACAATAATAAAGATGATTTTTGAACGAAAATAAAATACATACTATGAATAAAAATATGTTTTATTTAATTATAATTTGCATCACGTAGAATGGTCGTTTAATAATGACATCATGATACAAAACATTAAGGTATTTTGGTACTCTCAATTTAACACCAAGGTGGGTATTTAAAAATATTGAAGTGCCAATTATTTGAAAACAAAACATTGGTTAGGAGTGACGTTTAGGCTTACGTTAAAGAGTATGAGAAAAGAGTAACAAAAATTATGGTTTAAATAAGCCAAGGGATGACTACATTTCTGTTGCACTCCAACCCAGTACCTCACAAAGGTATATTATGATCAATATAATATTTTACTAGCATACAGTACTTCTATATAAATACAAATTTCTGTATATATTAGTAGTCTAGACAAAATACAACCTTTAAAGAATAAGTAATTTCTAATTCAGAGACCATTTTGGAGGGTAGATGTGGCTTGGTGGTTATGACGCCTGCCTTCCAATCCCAGGGTCCTGGGTTCAAATCCTGCAATGTTGATGGAGTGGA